GGCAGGGCCCCCGATGGGGCGCTGGGGGCGCGGGGGGGCTCGCAACAGACAGTATTTACCGATGAAATTGTCCTTGACCAGCTGGTCTGTCCTGTCTTTGTACAGCAGCAACAAGCGCAGGGAGTCGAGCGATTTAAGTGCACGATCCTTGACTGTTCAGGTGCTCCTTGCGCCCTTGGTGTCTCGACGTTCCAGCAGCTCATTGCACGTCAGACATCGCGCCGTGGGATGCGATCTATTCTAAGTTCAGGAGTCACTGCAAATCAATGCCCTAACTGCTGCTCAGTATTCCGAGATATTGTTTGCACGCGACACCGCCCCAAACGAGCGCGCGCACATGGGGAGATGCCAATTGGATAGAGCACGCATGACATGGGAATTGCAGTCACCATTTCGATTACAATGTGGGTTGTGAGACGCTCGAGCTCGGCGCCAACAAGATCCATGCCAGTTAAGGAAGGAGAGCGGGCCGAAGGAAGTCGCGGCACCCGAGCAGGGCGGGAAGACGATGCTCGGCCTTTGATTCGGCAGAATCTTCGATCCGCGCAACAGATGCGCGACATGCAGGCGGCCATCTACGACGTTTGGCTGATGCTCGAGACGTGCTCAGTGGCGCTGCCAATGCAGGAACATACATCGAACTACCCAGACCACGTGAAAGGCAAGAAGGAACACGATCTTGGGCCACCCTGCGTCTACGCGATGGGCGGCGCTCTCAAGGCGCACGCGGAGGTTAAGATCGGACAGGGCGGCACACCTGGCTTCACGCGCACAGGAGAACTGCACACAACCTCGGAAAGCGTGTACGGAGCACGATCAATGGTCAGTCAAGAGAAAGTGCGGTTTGATTCTACACTGCAGAGTGGAGAAGGTCTACCAGCGCGGCACGAAGGTGGGCAGGGTTGCAGCGACGTTTTTCGCGCGCGAGCTTCAGGAGTGGCTCGAGGGCATGGGGGGCTAGATGTCACAATGGCGTGCAGTGAAAACCATGCTGGGACGGTGCTTCGCATTCCATGCCAATGGTGTGGAGGCAACATGCAGGAGGTGACGATTCAAATGTTCACCGGGAGCGAGGTGATACCGCTCTCCTGGCTGCTCAGGTGAACCGAGCCGCCCATAGCTCACGCCCTCCGAGTTCGGAGGCACCTCTTCCAGAACGTGCAGTTCCAGGCGCCCCCTCCCGCATGCGTATAGTAACAGATTGTTTAGCTGCACGTCAAGTAATGCCTGGCGCATCAAATTACATTAGTACTCTATCAAGTGAGCGGACATTCTCCTTAGCTTTGACGTGGTATAGTGCACGGAACTCTGAGATTTCCACAGCTGGTCTAGGGGGCTAGCTGTGTAGGTTTTTGTGCGGGAGGGAGCCTTCCAGCCAACGGGGACCCTCCCAATGAGGGAGATAATTTGTGGCTTTTGGGGCTGCCTTCCGTCGGCCGTGTGTTCCCTAAGGCTGTCTCGGGACAGTGTTCCGCGGTATAACGAATTTTCCTCACAGTCATTTCATTCGCCGGTGGCGGTGTGGATGTGCCTTGGAACCGAGACAGCCCCGCAGGGCAATGCCCCGTCACTTCGGTGCCCGCTAGAGCAGGATCACCGCACCAGAACCCTAGACGTGTAAACAATACGCGGCCGACGGAATTCTCAATAGTATGACCGTTCCCAAGTGCACGGCAGAGACGGACAGAGATGGCGCCAATGGTGATTTCAATATAATATAATCCTTCTGCTCCTCCTCCTTCTCATTTCCCCTTCTTTCTCCTCCTCATCCCCCCCCTCCGCCTTTTCCTCCTCATCCTCCCCCTCCTCCTCCTCCTCCGCCCCCTCCTCCCCCTCATCCTCCTCCTCCTCCTTCTTCTCCTCTCCCTTCTTCTCCTCGTCTCCTCCTCATCCTCCTCCCTCCCTTCCTTCCCCCCTCCACTCTCTCCTCGACCTCCTCCTTTACCTCCTTCCTCACTCCTCTTGTCCTCCTCCTCCTCTTCTTATCCTCCTCCTCCTCATGGTCCTCCTCCCTCCTCCGCCTCCTTCCTCCTTTCATCTCCTCCTACTCCCATCCTCCTCCTCCTCCTCCTCCTCCTCCTCCTCCCCCTCCGCGTCTACATCTCGGTCTGTGTTACTTGCCGTATTTGTCGTCGCCGTCCTGTTTGCGATCTGAGTGTCGCACGTGTGCGGCGCTCATGGCCCAGCGTCCGATTAAGATCCCCAGAGCGCTGCATATTTCGCAGTGTTGTGTTTGTCCCTACCATGCTGTGGTGCTGGGTCCTCGTTTCGAAGAGACAGCGCAGTGCGTTCCTCACCTCCTTCCCATCCTCCCTCTTCTGCCCCTGCTTTCCGCATGCCAACCAGTTCGGCACACCCCTCACATGTTTCGTGGCCCCACAGGGAGCTCGCCCGAAGGCCCCAGTGGCAGTCCGCATGGCGTACCCACGCCCGATTCGGCAAACCCATCACACGTCTCGTGGCCCAGAGCTCCGCCGAAGGCCCCAGCGGCACAGCTCGCATGACGCACCCACGCCCGATTCGGCACCCCCCTCACACGTCTCGTGGCCCCACAGGGCGCTCCGCCGAAAGCCCCAGCGGCACAGCCCGCATGGCGTACCCGCACCCGATTCGACACACCCCTCGCACGCCTCGTGGCCCCACATGGAGCTCCGCCGAAAGCCCCAGCGGCACAGTCCACATGGCGCACCCACACCCGATTCGGGACACCCCTCACACGTTTTGTGGCCCCATAAAAGGGGGGTTCTGCCTAATGTCCCAGTGGCGGTGCCCGCACGCTGGCCCCGCCCCACTTCGGCAACGCCTGCACACGCCGCGTGGCCCCAGAAGGCTCCTCCACCGAATGTGGTACACACAACAACGGTACTCACAACTGCAGCTGACTGGACCTTTTGCCAGGATAGTGTGTGTGGGGCGTACTTATCATTACTCGCTTAACATGGGGAACATATTGGGTACGTCTCGGGAACTTTAAGATGCCTCGCTTTGCCCCACCAGCCTATCCAGCACTGATGTTCTGGCGAGTTGCTCTGATCAAGGATGTGGATGAGCATGCAATGGAACAAAGGATGGGGAAACCCTCATAACCTAAAAAGGGGGAGGAAGGAGGAGGAATCAGAGGAGGAGGAGGAGGAAAAGGAGGAGGAAAAGGAGGAGGAAGAGGAGGAGGAAGATGGAGAGGAGGATGGGGAAGGAGGGGAGGACGGAGGAGGGACGAGGAGGAACAGGCGGTCGAGGAGGTGGAGGAGGAGGGCGAGCAGAAAGGCCAGAGGCCTCTTGGATGCTTCTCGGGGCCTCTTCGGATGTCGCTTGAAAGCTTTTTGGGGTCCTCTTGTGGCGTCGTTGAGGCCTCTTGGCGGTCCCAGGGGCCTCTTGGGGCGTTTTCGGTGCTTTGGGGTAGCCTCTTGGGACCTCTTGGGGGCCTTTGGGCGCTCATGCCATCTTGGAGGAGTTCGATCAAGGAGGGGGGGGGGCTCAATCAGCCCCCCCCGCCCGAGAGGCCAAGATTTTCCCAAAGCCTTAGTCGGATCAATGGCTTGCGTCTTCTCGCCGAGTCCTTCGTTGACGCTCCAATCTGTCGCGACACCCCCCCCCCGCCCCCCTTGTCCAGGTCCAGGAGGGGGGGGGTAGTGGGAGGAGTAAGCCTCTCTCCTGGGACCTCCCTATGGTGGCGCCTCTCTGGCGTGCTCCGCGCGCCAGGGCTGGGTGGAGAGTTGAGCTGCTTGTCTGAGGAGGGCAACGCGGCGGTTCTCGCCAGCGACGTGGCCATCTCGAAGTTCCGCTTCCTGGTCCCCCTGCTCTTCTGCCACGGCCGTCGCGCCTACCGCAGGATGGCGGTCTTCCTGTTCGTCCGCCTGCCGGCAGCCCTGGCCGCCCGGCCAGGGCACGTCTCGGAGCTCATGCAGGGTGGGTCTGCCGAGGTGTAAGTCGGGCCTGTTCCCTTACAGGAGGAAGATGGAAGAATAGTCAGAAAATAGTTCGGGGATGACTTTTTGAGTATTGTTGGCCATCTTCGACTACTTTTTGACCATGTTTTATTGTTCGTCCAGATTCCGCCTGCAGGGGGGCATGCCCGACCTAAGCCGAGATCTTGAACCGTTCGAACAAGCAAACAGCACCTTGAACATATGATATGTTCGGAGGTTCGCGTGGATTGTTTGGATCGGCGTCTGCTGCGATGCTGTAGCGCGACTTGGCCGCAACGTTACATGGCTGGTGCATTGCTTCCTGGGGGGTACTTTGAGGCCTCTCAGGGGCCTCCTTGGTCATCTCAAGGGCCTTTGGGGGGAAAGTTAAGGCGCACTTGGGCACGCCACAACGTGCCAAGGGCGCGGTCGCGGATTGTACATGCTGTACAAGCACATCGCCATCGCTACTGGGGACATGATTTGGGCGAGCCAGTCCAGTTTCCGTGGCGATGTCGGCTATCCCGAGTGGTTGAATTCTGCATACTCTGGGTCCATCACGCCCTTCGCCTTCTTTGTTACGCTGGGTTTCGACTCTGACGTTCCAGATGCGATTGCTGTTAGCAGTCCCGAGCTCTACCTCGAGGGGCCGATGAATATGTATTTCAACTCGCGCATTTTCGTCCTCTGGATCCTAAGTGCCCTATTTCACGGCACTGTGGCATGGGTCCTCCCGAGCCTGACGGTGGGCTCTTCGGACACCGAGGACCCCGCCTTCTGGACGGCGTCGGTCGCCTCCTTCGTGATCCTGGTGCTGCTGGTGAACTCCCGCCTGTGGATCATGTCGCTCAACCCGTTCTTCGCTCGGACGGTGCTCGTCATGTCGCTGTCGTTCTTCATAGCACTCGTCTCCATCTTCGGCTTCAGCGAGACGTCCCTCGGGCAGTACATGCAGCCCGAGATGGCGGGCGCGTCGCTCCGGGCCTTCACGCAGGGCGACAGCCTCACCGTGATGGCGGCCGCCAGCCTCGTCGTGGTCCTGCTGGACTGCCTGCTCATCTCGGGCGCTGGCAGGGGTGCCCCGCGGGGCCCGAGTTGCTCCCACCGTTCCGTCGGAGTCTCGGAGGCCTCGAGGCTGGGCGCCAGCACCGAGATCGGCGGCGTGCCTCCACCGAGGAGGGGTGATCCCGAGCTCGGGAAGGGTGGCCGTGCTCGAGCTTCTGGGTGGCCGAGGTGTCAACACCGGCCCCAAAGACTATGATCATCCTCCCCCCATGGGCGCACCCCCCTGTCTTGGTGTTGGCGTTGGCATCCAGGCCTCCAGACGTTGGCTGAGGCAGAAAGGCCTGCCGGAAGATGGACGCCCGGAGGTCCGCACGGATTTCTTGGATCGGCTCCCCCAAATCCCCACAGACCTGGCGCCGTAATTACGTACGTGCAGTGCCAGGGGCGGCGGCCCGTCTTCCCATCTTATCATCATAGGGGGATGCGACGTCCCTGAAGCCGGGTCGGGGTGGGCACGAGCGGGCATCATAGCCAGCTCAAAACCTAAAGAGGTAGCATCGCCTCATCCAACCTTGATTGATCCACTCACGGATCCAATGCGATTTGTTTTCATTGAATTCATCTTGGCATCGCTCGGACGTGTGCATTTTTTCTCGGCGAGAACCATCGAGGACCATCCTGGACCATCGAGCAACAAAAACACGCACGACACCGAGAAATCCACGGGTCATGGACGTAGCATGCGCAAGTCCTTCGATGCGTAGCATGCTCCACCCTTCCCTGGCTCGCGGAGCGTGCCGGGAGCGGCGCTGGAGGAGGAGGACGAGGAGGAGGAGGAGGAGGGGGAGGAGGAGGAGGGGGAGGAGGAGGGGGATGAGGAGGAGGAGGAGGAGGAGGAGGAGGAGGAGGAGGAGGAGGAGGAGGAGGAGAGGCAGGAGGAGGGGGAGGAGGAGGAGGCACCGCCAGGGCCTGCCAGCGCCGATCGCAGAGGCCCGCGCGGTCCTCTGTGCGGTCTCCTCCTCTGCGCGGGCCCCTGCCCCCGGCGGCAGAGGGGCGGGGCGTGTCGAGGGTGCCCGCGGTGCGGTCGGCGCAGTGTTTCTGCAGTCTCCGAAAGATCCAACGACTGAAAAAATCAAGACGACGGTTTTTCGCATTTTTCGGCCTCGAGGGGCCCTCGCCGGGCCCCGGGACCGCCAAAAAACTACTCGGGATGAGAAGCCGGTCCTGGGGAATGGGTCGAGACCTCGGGGGACCCCGTATTGAAAAAAATCACGACATCGGATCTCTGGGCTTCGAAGATCAAGCAGTGGCGAAGCGTCCCGGCTCGCCTACCGCCCCACCAAACAGTGTTCTAGGAACCTTCTGTTCTTCCCACGAGATGTTCTTAGAACATGTATGGCTGGGACTGTCTTATTTTGGCACATCGGGTTTATGCTCTAAGAACCTTGTTTTTGTTCTTAAACATTTTTGGGTTCTAAGAACATTCCGTGGTATGACTATAGGAATGCCGGGACGGTCGGTCCCTGCTCAAGAAGAAGGAAAATCGGAAACTGGGACAATTACATTGCCAGTGGCGGGTTGTTTTTTCAATCCCACGACTTTTTGAGGGTCGGGGACGACGTCGGGGTGGTGTGGTGTATATTTTTCCTCCGTTTTCCAACGGAAACAGCGCAAAATGTATACACCAGGATCCCGTATACACCAGGATCCGCGTTCGTGTGCGAATTTCAGCGCAGGGTCGGAAAAAGCGTCGGTGTGTAGAGTTCGTTTCCTTCGAAAAAACGCCATCCACAGAAACTGTTGGCGCTCCGCGCGGACTTCTTTGATCCGCGCTGGGGCCCCCCCGGCGGCGCCTCCGGCGTGGCTCCTGGCGTGGCGCGCTCCGCGCGCCAGGGAGGGGGGTCCAGCGCAGATCCAAGGAATCCGCGCGGAGCGCCAGAAGTTTATGTTTACGGCGTCTTCTCTTCTACACCTTAGGCGATGCTTAAGAAAACCTAAGTTTTCGTCCAGAGTCTCGATTATTCTTAACTTTTCAATGTAAACCCCAAGATTTTGATAGAAGTTCTGGGTTTTCTTCAAGTTCTGAGACTATGAATTTCTTAACCCATGATTTCTTAAACATTTCGCAGGGTCTAAGTCTGCTGCATTCGATCGGTTCGGTTCGGTCGGTAGCTGCACCGCTGCGTCCTTCTCGCTGCGCTCTGTCCGTCGACCTCCGCCGGTGTCGGTCTCGCTGTCGGCTCGGCTGGTTTTCGTCCTCTTTTTGTGCCGCCGTGGTCGCCTTTGCCCCTGGAGACCGTCCAGGGAGATCCAGGAAGATCCAGTCTCTTCTCATCTTTCGAGGTACACCAGGAGGGGAAAAAACACACAGACACAATGAATCATCGACTCCCAGAAAATATGGGGAAATAAGGGCAGTGGGGGGGATGACGAAAACCCAGAAAATATGGGAAAATAGGGGGAATCATTTGATTCGTGTGTATTTATTTGTGTGTCCCAGGGCCCCTTCAAAAATCAGATCCTCGGATCTCTTGGTTATCCTTTCAGTACTCTCCCGGGCTCCCCCCCCGATTTCCCGACCCTCTCCCACGGGGGGCCAGCTGCCCATATATCCCCCGAGCAGCTTCTCCCGACGACCCCCACGGGGCCCAGCGAGGGCGGAGGCCGAACAAAAAAACTGCAGAAAGCCCTCCTGCCCCAGATATTCGACCTCCTCCTCCTCCTCCTCCTCCTCCTCCTCCTCCTCCTCTTGCTCCTCCTCTCCCCCTCCCCCCCTCCCCCTCCTCCCTCCTCCTCCTCTCTCCTCCTCCTCCTCCTCCTCCTCCTCCTCCTCGCCTCCTCTCTCCTCCTCCTCCTCCTCTCCTCTCATCTCCTCCTCCTCCTCTCTCCTCCCCCCCTGAAGCAATCGCGACGGGAGGCGTTTCCCCTGTTTTCGTCCTCGGGGGGCCCACACCGGGCCGCCGGGCCGTCAAGAAGAGACTCGGGAGGAGAAGCCGGTCTCCTGGAATGGGTCGAGACCCTGGGTGGTCGACGTCATGAAAAAAAAACTTGACGTCGGGGGTCTGGGAGGGGGTGTATGGGGGAGAGGGGGGAGGCTCCTGATGAGCGGGCTGCTTTGTAGAAAGGCGCGGGCATGACATCTGCAGACGAGTCCCGCGCCTGCTAAGAAGACGGGGTGCTTCTCAGAAGCCTTGCCCGTTCCCCCTTTATATACCCCACCCTGCGCGCCGCCAGCCAAGGGTCCCGACCCCATCTCCGGGGGTACGGTAAGTTCGTGCCGTGTTGACCGGCGGCGACCCCGTTATTGACGCTCAACGCTGGTCGCCGCTGGCGACGCAGACTCGGTTGACATTGAACGATCTGACGTTCCGAAAACGGCTGGCCGTTCAAGGCTGAACGATCCACGCGGTGTCAGGAACCAGCGCTGCAGGTCGCCACGACACGAACCCGCGGTAGGTTGCCACTCCCCCAGATCCCTGTCTGATGGTCCCAGCGCCCAGCAGCGGGACGGGGAGGCCGTTGATCAAGGCCCAGACGCTGGATTTTACCGGATGCCATGGTCGGAGATCTGGGCATCTCAGTCAGCAGCTCGTTGGAGGTCTGGTGCGAGGTGGCCTCGCAGAACCCCCACGGTCGGCGCGTGCCTGCCAGCCTCTCGAGGGGGATCCTGCCGTGGCCGCGAGAAGGCTCGCGGCGGCGCGGGAGGGGCGGACAGACACGGCCAGAAGCACCTGGCTCCTCGAGCTCGATCCTGGGGCCTCCGTCTCGCTCTCCGGGGAGGTCTCGGGCCTCCAGGGCGGGGCCGGAGCAGGCGGTGGCGGAGAGCGCCGCCGCATATGGCCGATGCATATCGGCCATGCGGCTCGATATGGGGCCCGAATTTCCCCACGCCGGCGTCGCCGGGGCATCGCCGACGTCGTGGGTGCCTCGCCAATGCACTGGTGGTGTGCGTCGGCGCTGCGGCATGGTCCTCCGAGCCCACCTGGCAGGCTTCGGGGCCGGGGGGGGGGGCGGCCTGCCATGCAGACCCCCGATGGACCTCGTGCTCTTTCCACGGCGTGGGTTTTCCCCAAAGGGCTGGACCCCTTCCTGGGAGCGGGCTCTCTTCATCGCGAGTCGCTCCCTGGCGCAGTGCCAGGGCCCGGCGAGGGCCCCCGTGCATGCCTCCTAATTACGTAAGTGGGGTCCGAGCAGATGGGGTCGGGGGAGCGCGCCGCATCGCCGATGCATCGCCGATGCGGCTCGACGTGGAGCCCGACGTGCTTCATGCCGACGCCGCCGACACATCGCCGACGTCGACGATGCATCGCTGGTGCATCGCCGACGCATCGCCGAGGCCTCGGCGATGCGGCGCGAGCCTCCGACCCCAGCTACCCCGAGCCCATCTATAGGAGGCCTGCAGCCCACAGATCCGAGGTCGTGACTTTCTCCATGCGCGGCCCCCGCACGTCTCGACCCCTTCCCCGGGACCGGTTTTTTCATCCCGGGCCGTTTCTTGTCGGCCCTGCTGAGGCCCAGCGAGGGCCCTTGTGGAGGCCGAAAGCTGCTCCAAACCTGCGTCTTGATGTTCTCCTCGCGCTGGATCTGTCTCCGGGAGTGCCGAGACCGACAAGCCGGCGCGACACGCCCTCCGTCGTGAGTTCCCCCTCGGCTCGAGGAGGGCTCGGCTCCCTGAGTTGGGCTCGGCTCCCTAAGTCGGGCGCGCCGCCCCGGGCCCGCGGGGTACCTCTGGCGGCGCCCGGGCCCCTCCTCGGGCGCAGGGCGCTGCGGCCGGGCCCGCTGGACGAGGCCCGCGCGCGGCTCGGCAGGGGCGGCGGCGCAGGCCTGCAGGCCGCCCCGGCGGGCGCGGAGGCGCCCCGGGGCGGCAAGTGAGGCCGCCTGCGGGGCGCCGGCAGGGTTTGCTGCCATGCCCTATAGCTGGCCCAGAGATTCGAGGCCGTGATTCGTTCTATATATATATATATATATATATATATATCGAGCAGTGGCGAAGCGTCCTGGCTCGCCTATAGCCCTACCAAGCACTGTTCTCGGAACCTGTCGTGGTCTCCACGACATGTTCGTAGAACATTTCTGGCGGAGTCTGTCTTGTTTTATCACATCGGGTTTATGTTCTGAGAACATTGTGTTTGTTTTTGGAACATTTTTGGGTTCTAAGAACAACACCTCGCGGTAGGGATATAGAAATGCCGGGACGGTCGGTCCCTGCTCAAATATACGGGGTCCCCGGAAGTCTCGACCCATTCCCCAGGACCTGTTTTTCATCTTGAGTCGTCTGTTGACGGTCCAGGAGCCCTGCGAGGGCCGCTGGGGGCCGAAAGATGCGAAACACCTACGTCTTGATTTGTCCAAGACGTTGGATCTCTGGGGACCCCCTCGCGGTGTGACAAAATCGCGGCGCGAGGTTTTTCGCCATCTGTTCGGCCTCGGGGGGTCCTTCGCTGGGCCGCGGGGCCGTCAAAGAAGAACGCCTCGAGGGAGGAAGAGCCGGTCCCCGGGGACTGGGTCGGGAGCCCTGGAGGTCGACGCCATGAGAATTCTCATGGCGTCGACCTCCAGACCTTAAGGTCATGACCCCCGGCGTCATGACCTTAAGGTCATGACGCCGGGGGTCTGGGTCCGTGCCGAACCCAGTCAGGAGGAACAGAACCACACAGACACAATGAATCGTCGAGTGCCAGGAAAATATGGGAAAATATGGGAATTGGGCGGGAAGACAAAAATCCAGAAAGTATGAGAAAATATAGGGAATCATTGTATTTGTGTGTATTTATTTGTGTGTCCCAGGGCCCCTTCACCCAGAGAGCCCGGGGGCTTTTCATATTCTCAGCCTCGAGGAGCCCTCCTCGCCAGGCCCCGCGGGGCCGTCAAAAGACGACTCGATCAGGACGTTGCGCCGGCCCTCGGGAAGGGGTCGAGACTTCGGGGGGCCGCGCCCTGAGAACAGCACGACCTCCCAGAGATCCGACGTCGTGATTTTTCCAGCACGGGGCCCCTGGAAGTCGCGACCCCTTCCCCAGGACCGGCTTCTCATCCTGAGTCGCTTTGTGACGGTCCCGGGGCCCGGCGAGGGCCTGGCGAGGCCGAAACATATGAAAAACCGACGTCTTGTTTTTGTTTCACTACGTTGGATCTCTGGGCTCGGATCCCTCTGGGGAGGAGTGAGCTCGGCCCCGGGCCGCCCCGGTGTCAGCGCTGCAGCGCGACCACTGCTCTCGCTCCCCGGCGCCCGGCCGCTCGCTTGGAGAGAGCGCCGCCGTGCCCGAGAGGGGGGGCTCTGGGGAGGGGAGGAAAACCCACACACCCAGACCCCCTCGAGTCATGAAAAAATCACGACGGGAGGTTTTTCCTAATTTTCGGCCTCCGGGGGCCCTCACCGGGCCTCGGGAGCGTCAACAAAACGACTCAGGATGCAAAGCCGGTCATGGGGAAAGGGTCCAGACCTTTGGGGGTCGACGTAATGAAAAAATCATTACGTCGGGGGTCTGGGCACACACAGACACAGTTCATCGTCGAGCCTCCAGAACAGAGGGGAGCATGTGGGAAGTGGGGGGGGGAAGACAAAAAACACCCCCACACACACACAGACACGATGCCTCGTCGAGCCCCCAGAACATAGGGGAGACTGTGGGAAGTGGGGGGGAAGACAAAAAACACCCACACACACAGAGACAGACACGATTCATCGTCGAGCCCCCAGAACAGAGGGGGACATGTGGGGGAAGTGGGGGGGAAGACACAACAAAAGCCCAGAGACTATTTGAAAATATGGGGAGGCCTGTCGTTTGTGTGTGTATTGACATGTGTGTCCCAGGGCCCCTTCATTCTCAGGCGACTGAAGCGAAAGGCAACGGGTTGGCAAGTGGGGCCCCTCCGGACGCCAGCCTGGGGCCGGATCTGCTGTCAGCACGCGCGGCGAAGGAGCCCAGAGAGCCCACGTGTTGAAAGAATCAGGGCAGATGCCTTTCGCCGATTTCGGCCGCCAAGACCGTCAAGAAATGAAAGAGTCAGGGCATATGCTTTTCGCCGATTCCGGCCACCAAGACCATCAGGAAACGATCTAGGAGGAAAAGCCGGTTCCCGGGAGTGGGTCGAGCCGTCCGAATGGTAGGGCGATGTCTGCCGCTGCTGGCAAGGGGGGGCGCTTCAAGTCCCCCCTCGAAATCGGAGAATGGGGCGGGGTCCGGAGCCCCCCCCCCCCGCCCTCCGGTGAAAGTCAGTGGGGGGATCGGGAGCCCCCCCCCCGCCCTCCCCCCCCGACAATTTCTCTTTGCGGGGGTCCAGAATCCCCCCCCCCCCCTCCCCCCCCCTGGCAACGACACGACGACGACGACGACGACGAAGACGACGACGACGACGACGACGACGACGATGACGACGACGACGACGACGCACGACGACGATGACGACGACGACGCACGACGCACGAAGCACGGCGCACGGCGCACGGCGCACAACGACGATGCCGACGCCGCCGACGCCCACGCCCACGCCCACCGGGCCCACGCCCACGCCCGCGCCCACGCCGACGCCCACGCCCAAACCCACGGCCCCGCCGACGCCGACGCCGACGACGACGACGCACAACGACGACGACGACGACGACGACGACGACGACGCACAACGACGACGACGACGACGACGACGCCGACGCCGACGACGACGACGACGCCGACGACGATCACGACGATCACGACGATCACGACGATCACGACGATCACGACGATCACGACGGTCACGACGCCGCACGCCGCACAACGACAACGACGACGACGCCGACGACGATGGACCCCGTCATAGATTTTCCCAGAGGTGGGGGGGGGCGTCCGAACCCCCCCCCCTAATTTTCCGGAGGGGGGGGGGGGGGAGGGTTCTGGACGGACCACCCAGGTGCTTCCCGGGGCGCGGGCGGGGTGGAGGACGGGTCCCTCAGACTGCGGGGGCCCCGCGTGGACAGAAATCAGGACATCGGATCTCCGGGAACGCGCTCAGACCCCGGAGGAGTCCAGGCTCCAGGCTGGCGCGGTCGACCTTGCGCACCCGCATCTGCCTGGGCCTCCCACGTGGGGTCGGAGCAGACGGGGCCGGAGGATCGCAGTCATCAGTGCGTCGGAAGAGCGTTCCGCATCCGCGGGGGCCCTGGCTCGCGAGGCCGCGGACGCGAACGCGTTTTTCGCCCAAGATTCAAGGCGCAGCCCGCAGGCTTGCTCGCGCAGGCTGTGGGGCCCTGTCTTCGAGCGCGCGAGGTGCGGCGGGTTCGTGTCCCCTCGACGCGGCCCAGCGCGGGCATGCAGGGTTGGACGCCGCTCGTGGCCCGGAATCGGTCGATCTCGAGCGGCCCTGCGCGATCCGAGAGGCGGGGCCGTCCAGAGGTTGAGCGGCCACGCTGCGTCGGAGCCCGGCTGCGAAGCTCGTCGCGGCACGAGCCCGCCGCAGCAGGAGTGTGCGCGCGAGTGCCCTCCACTCTCTCTTCGGCATCACCCCAACATACTTATACTATATGTGCGTCGCCCCCCCAGGGGCGACGCTCGCACCGACAAAACACACATATATATATAGAGAGAGAGAGAGAGAGAGAGAGAGAGAGAGAGAGAGAGAGAGATATAGATATAGATATAGACATAAGCGGCGTCTGGGGCCCCGCGGCCCAGGGCCGCACACTTTTCCCAAACTCCCCCCCCCCGTAACCGACTGGCCCCCTGGGCTGCGGGGGCCTGTTTTGGCATCCAGGGGCCCTTTTTCGTAGTCCCAGAACTTTTTCCGCTTCCCCGAGGCGTCCACCTAGGCTTCTGGAGACGGCAAGAAGCCGCCAAGACGACCAAATAGCGCTCGAAGCCGACCAAATGGCCCCATGATCGGCCCAAGAGGCCCCCAAGATGCCCCAAGGTCGCTCCGCGAGGACCTCCAAGAGAGCCCCAAGACGCTGATTTTCATTGCGTGTTTCCAATACTTGTTGCTTCTCACGTTTTCGAGCGGCCGACACTCCAAGACTGCCCAAGAAGCCGCCAACGTCGCCCCAAGAGGCCCCCAAGAGGCCCCGAAGACAGCCCAAGAGGGCCGCATGATCGGCCCACAAGGCCCCCAAGACGGCCCAAGAGGGCCTGAAGAGGGCCTGAAGACGGCTCCAAGATGGGCCCAAGAGATGGAACGCGAACCGACCTTTCGAGTTTCCCGCTCCCAGAGACCCCCAGGAGGCCCCACGAAGCCCCCATGTGGCTCCAAGAGGCTCCAACGAGGCTCCACAGATGCTTAAGAGAGGTCCGACAAGCTCCACACCGCCCCCGTGGATGCTTCAAACCTGCTTCCACAAAGCCCCCCGAGAGGTATCCCACGATATCATCCCAGCGAACATCCGAGAAGCCTCTAACCCACAACCCAGACACGGTTGCGGGATGGGCCCAGAACTGCGACCTCTGGTTCGCATGGGGGGCTGGGGGGGCCTTGAGGGCTCCAAGAGGGTTCAGAAGAGGCCCAAGCTATTCCAGAGGCTCCCAAGCTGGCCCAAGATATTCCCAGAAGACTCCAGAGAGCCGCCCAAATGTCCGAACAGAGGCGCCCTCTGCCCCAAGAGGCCCCCAGGAGGCCCCAAGAGACTCCCAGGAGGCCTCCACGACGCCCCAAAAAGCCACCAAAAAGGCTCCAGAAAGACCCGAAAAGCTCCCGAGAAACCACCACCGAGCTTGCAGGAGGCCTCTACACAGACCCTCAGAAGCCCGCCAGAAGCCCTTCGTCCTCCATGCTCCGGAACAGCCCTTCGGAACACGTGGCCCTGGCTGCACCCCCCGACCCGCCCACCCAGTGTCGAGGCCCGAGGACGCCCCCATGACGCCCGCAAGACGCTCCGGAAACGTTTCCCGCACACGTAGATCAGGCGACAAAGATGCTGATCGTCGGTGGTCCGTCGTCGTCGTCGTCGTCGGTCGTCGCTGGTACGCTACAGGCCAAACCCTTCCTTGAACTTCGCAGCATCCGCCCGAAACTCACGCATGGGTGAAAGGGAGGAACCCGGAAGACCACATGGAAAAGGTCCCATGGAAATTGACACCGTCTTCGGAGTCGACTAGAACCGAAGCGCGCGCGAAGCGCGCGCGTGGTTCTGGTCTTACAGTATGTGCGTCGTGGCGGGCGCTTTCCGGCCACACCGCTCGGGAAGCGATATGCTACAAGATGGGTATACCATATGTTCGGGTCCGGCGCGCCTCCGAGGAGGACATATAGTATTAGTATGTCTCTGTGCGTCCCATCTCTCTATCAGTGAGCCTTTCTCCCTTCAGCCGCTCCGCGAACGCCCCTGTGGGAGCCCAGCCTGCCCCCAGGGGCGCGCCACTCGAACGTGGTGGCGATCTGGCGCCCGGCCTCCAGCTGCGCGTGCCCTTCCAACGCCGCCCTGCCCTGCTCGGGAGCGGCAGAGAGGGGGGTGATGACTAGGGGAGGGGGGATATCATGGCGGGGGCCATGATATTTCCGCAGATTTCATGGCGCCTCTTCTTGCTGCATTACGTCCCTGGCCCCCCCCCCGTCTGGGCCGCGCACATGCCGCTGGCCATGATTTGCGCCCCCCCCCCCCCCCCCCCCTCTTGGACACCCCCCTCTTGGCCGCTCCCGACCTGCCCTCCTCGTGCCCGATGTGTGCGGGCGTTCCGTCTCGGACTACGAAGGCGGCGGCAAGGACCCCCGCGATTCGACGAGTCACCCTTCCCACCTTGGGGTGCTTCAACTGACGCGTTGCGCCAACTGTCGCCGGCGTGAAGAAAGAGTCTTCTTGCCACTGTCTGCTCAGGTGGGTGGGGCTGCCTTAACCTAAACCCAAAGCGATCAAGTCAGGGGCAACGATACTGGGTGATAGGCTCAGGGGGATCAGGCGGGTAGCGCAGTGGAAACCCATGCCAAGAGACACCCTGCTTGCCTCCAGAGCGCCCTGGGTTTCTCAGGTTTCGATGGCTTTGCTATGGAAGCCGTGCCGTTTCCACATCAAAGATCGGTGGGCATCCTGGGGTCTCAGGGCTGGGCTTCCTGTGGAAGGTTTCCTGTGGTCGCGCTCCTGCTGTTAGGGGGCACAGTGGGCACAGCCGGTACAAATTCCGCCTGCCTGCGGGCCTCGTTCGGGGATTTCCTGGCTCTCGATGGCACCCCTGGTCTCCACGGGAGCACTGGGAGCTCCTGAGGAGGCTCCAACCCGGCTTCGGACGTGCCCTCAGATTTCATGCAGCAGGATTTCTTGGCCTTCGGTGCCGACGACGATCGAAGAAGAAGCAACGCCATACACGTGAACTGCTGGCGTTCCGCGCGGACGTTTTGGATCTGCGCTGAGTCGACGTTGGTGACGAGCAGGGGTGGTGGGGCGACTTGGGCGGGGGTCATCACAGGGCAGTGCCCGCCGCATTGATCCGATCGATCCGATTCGTTGTCGGTTCCGGCAGGCCCGATCCCATTTCGATGTCGATTATTTCGCAATCCGATGCGACCTGTTTTTTTTCATGCGCGTTGTTGCGGATCCGACGATGACGATGACGATGACGATGTCCATCGTCATCGTCAGCGCGGCCGATCTGACCGGATTCCGACCTGGTGCCGATGCAGCCCGATGCGATGCATCTTCAGATCCTAGCCCGCTGCCCCGATCCGGTGCTGACTGCTCCTGTTGGGGCTATAGAGCCGGCGCTGGTGCTCGCGCAGGGACAGATGGAACAGAGCCGCCGCTGCTGCTCGCGAGAGGCCATGTGGCATGTCGCGCGCACTGGCAGGAGGCAGCAGAAATCCCGTCAGGGCAGGCGCCGCACGGGGGGCTGATCCGTGAGCACTGACGCCTCGGCGGTGCCTGCGGCCGCCTGGCGCGGCGCTCCAGCACCCCGGCTGCGGCGGCAGAGCCCCGAGGCGGCTCGGCGACTGGCGTCGGGGCCACTTCTCCTTCTCCGCCGCTCCTCCGTGCCCTGGCATCGCTCGGACGTGTGCACTCTTCCCTTCGGCGAGGACCATTGAGGAGCATCCTTGATCATTTGACGAAAAAACCACGCACGGACCTGAAAAAAGCACAGAGAATGGACGTCCGAGCGATGGCCAGGTGCTCTCTCCCCCAGTGGGCCGGAGCTCCGCATGGGGTCTGCAGGGCTGCGGCCCTCTACGCGCCCTGCCCGCACGGGCACGGGCATGCGCGCGCCGCCGCATGGGCCTGCACCGCCTCGCTCGCTCGCTCCCTTGTTCGCTCGCCCCTCTCGGAGGGTCCTGGACCTCCGTCCCGATTCTCTCCAATACGTGCGGGGGTCCAGAGCTGTCGAGCCTGTCTCGTGCGCGAATCTCGCCCCGTCGCCCCCCCCCCCCCCACCCTGCTGTTCGTTTCGACACGCGCGCGCGAGAGCCCCGCTTGGTCGAATTGATGAAGATTTTGGACAACCTACGGTTTTCGCCAGAATTCGCAAGAACAGGCTCGCCGATTCTGTTTGACACATCATGTGCTGTTTGTTTCAACAGTTTCGGGGGGCCCGCCCTGGAAATCTTTCGGGGGCCCAGGGGTTCTGAAGGATTCTGGCATGCGCGCGCGACGACGCGCGCGCGTCAACGTTGCCCCAGCATTGCAAAATATGTTTGGGACGGATGATTGTTTATACGCGCGCGCATAAGTTTGACAGGGATGAGAGAGGGCGGTGCTGGCTGTGGCTGGGCCGGGGTTGTATGGACTCAAATACAAAGAAACGGTTGGGCATAAGATTCTGTAAAGTGCGTCATCCCACGAAGGGTCGATATAACCACGGGTGGTCGTGATGGTGAATCCAAACTTTTTATGGAATCGGAGAATAAATGTGGTGCACTTCACTTTCCGAACTTGAAGTTGTCAGCTCCACTGCTCCCGCAATCATCCCACCCACCCACCCGCAACTTGGTTTGCAAAACCCATGCGGGACCGAGCACAGATATCGCTTCGGGGTCGTCTTGGAGCCCTCGGGGGCGTCTCAAGAGCGCCCCAAGAAGGCCAGAGAAGCAAGACGGCCGACGACGACGTCGACGATGGCGGCGACGACGACGACGCCGACGTCGACGACGACGAAGACGACGCCGACGACGACGACGAAGACGACGCCGTCGCCAACGAAGACGACGAGGGAAGAGGGAGGACGACGACGGCGACAACGACGACAACGACGACGACGACAACGAGGGAGGAGGGAGGACGGCGACGACGCGAACGACGAAGAAGGAGGAAGGACGGCGACGCCGACGACGACAACGACGAGGGAGGAGGAAGACGACGACGAGACGACGACGACGACGACGACGACGACGACGACGGCGAAGAAATGGGAGGGACGACGACGAGACGCCGACGACGGACGACGACGACGACGAGGGAGGAGGAGGAAGGACGACCACGGCGTCAACGACGACGGAAACGACCACGACGCCAAAGAGGACGACAACGGCGAACACGAGGAAGACACAGGACGACGTAGGCGACGACGACGACGCGGAAGGAGGGAGGACGGCGACGACGACGACGACGACGCCGCAAGAGCGCGCGCGCACGCTTTTGTTGAAAATCCGTGTTGCGAAACCTTGTGTTCTTGTAGGTTTTTTGGACGCGCGATTTTGAAACCCTTCCGAAACCGATGGGTTTTTTGAAGGATTTCGGCGTACGCGCGCGACGACGCGCGCGTCTGCACTTCGTCTTATTTTTTGCAGAGGGTTCTCGCGACGGCACACGCGCAAGGGCGTTCGACAGATTTGAAAGAGCGTGTTCTACCGCTGCTGGCGGAAAACCGGGGGGGGTCACTACCGGTTCGAACCCCTCCCCCCCCCCCCCCCCTCTGGAAAACCGGGGGGGGTTACTACCGGTTCGAACCCCTCCCCCCCCCCCCCAGTCATCATGAAAAGGGGGGGGGGTCACTACCGGTTCGAACCCCCCCCCCCCTCGAAAACCGAGTGGGGGTGCGGACAGTGGTGGGGACGGTGTTGGTGGGGACAGTGGTGAGGGGACAGCGGGACAGTGGTGGGGACAGTGGGGGGACAGTGGGACAGTGGTGGGGACGGTAGTGGTGGGGACAGTGGTGGGGACAATGGTGGGAACAGGGGGGACAGTGGACAGTGGTGGGAACGGTGGTGGTGGGGACAGTGGTGTGGGGACAGTGGGAATGAGGTGGAAACACTGGGACAGTGGAGGGTACAATGGTGGTGGGGACACTGGTAAAGGCGGTGGCGAGGACGGCGGTGGGACAATGGGACAGAGGTACAGTGGGGACAGTGGTGGGGACAGTGGGGACAGTGGTGGAAACAGTGGGACAGCTCAGTGGGACAGCGGAGGAGTCAGTGGGACAGTGGGGACAGTGGGGATAGGCAGTGGTTGGGTCCGTGGAGACAGTGGGGAGAGTGGAACCGTGGTGGGAACAGTTGTGGGAACATGGGAACAGTGGGGACAGTGCGACAGTGGTGGGGGCACTGGTGGGGACAATAGGGACGGTGGTGGAACCAGTGGGGACAGTGGTGGTGAGGACAGTGGTGCTGGGAACACCAGTGGGGGATGTGATGCGGACGGTGGTGGGGACCGGGAGTCGTTTGCTGGCGGTGAGTAGGGGGGGGGGGGGGAGGGGGGGGGGGGGAACCGGTAGTGGGTTTTCCGGATCGGGAGGGGGGGGGGGGGGGGGGGGGGTTCGAACCGGTAGTGACCCCCCCGGTTTTCGAAGGGGGGGGGGGGAGGGGGTTACGGGAGGGGGGGGGGTTTTGCCGGAAGAGAGGGGGGGGGGGGCGGGAGGGGTTCCAGCAGGGGGAGGGGGATTTTCGGAGGGGGGGGGGGGAAGACCCCCGGGTTCCGGAGGAAAAGGTTGGCATTTTTCCACAGTAAAGCGGCGGTGGATCACGCTCTCTCAGAGATTTCGACATGCGCGCGCGACGCCCGTTTGGTAGCATGTTGTGAAATCTTGAAAAACCAATGGTTTTCTTAAGATTTCGCAAGAGCTCGCGCGTAATATTGTTCCAGCAAATCAGTGTTACAAAACCGTTTGTTTTTGTATGTTTTGTTGGTACCTCGATTGCGAAATCCTTCCGGCACCGAAGGTTTTTGAAGGATTTCGGCATGCGCGCGCGACGACGCGCGCGTGTGCACTTCGTCCAATTTGTTGCAAGGGATTTGTGAAAAAAGTGTCATGTTAGAACAAAACATGTCACCGCAGAGTGTTTTTTTTACAAGGGAACCTCAGGGGGGGAAACCGGCTGGCCTGGGACATTGTGATTTCACATTTCGGATGGACATGTGGTCAGAATCGTATACGATTTACATACCCGGAAGGGGTAGCGATAACGCCGGGGGGGGGTAGAGTCTATTCAGTTTTTAGAAAGGAGACTTGACTTTTACAAACGAGTTGACACATTCTACGTTATTGAACATTCCACCCATCCACCCGCAACTTGATTTGCAAAACCCATGTGGCGGCGATTGCGATGAGTGTTTGGCGTCGGCTGGTGCATCTCTGCTGCCGCGCTAGCCCGCGCGTGCTCGCGCGCACAGCGGCCAGGTAGCCTGGCGCGAGCGACGCGGCCGCGGCGGCGCCGACCGCTGGGCATTTCCCAGCGGGCACTGCAGTGCGAGTCGGTGACATGGGCGGGCGCGGTATCATGGCAACGCCGAAAACGATAGACACGATCATGAGAATAGCGATGGTGACGAAGGTGGCGATGAGAACTGCAAGGCCGATGGCGGCGCCGATGATGATCACGCCCGCCGATAACGATGACAATGTTTCCGCGTCGGCGATGAAGGTTTTTGATGG